GGTGGGGGGGGGGGGTTGGGGGTGGGTGGGTGGTTGATACAGAAAAAAAAATTCCAAACTATTTTGTGCAACCAAACAGTGTGAAAATGGGAAAATATTTTCCTTCATACCAAACACACCCAAAAAATTAAATATGTTGATTGAGATCTCTTTGTTTTGGGTGAGCTTCATTGGTTATATTTGGGTTACTTCATGGATCAGAATGCGCTATAAAAAATAATGGGTTAACTTGGTCTCATCCCAAATAGACTCATGAGCTAAAATATTTGTAGACCGACCCATTAATCTCTAGGCGGGTTGAATGAGTTTGGGCTCAAATTGCCACCTCTAATCATATGACAATAACTTTACCAGTTACACCAAGGTTCTCCTTCAGTAACTTATCTACTAAAAGGGCAGCTTGGTGCACTAAGCTCCCGCTATGCACAGGGGTTGGGGAAGGGCCGGACCACAAGGGTTCACTATATGCAACTTTACCCTACATTTATGCAAAAAGGTTATTTTCACGGCTCGAACCCATAACCTCTTGATTACATGGCAATAACTTTACGAGTTACGTCACAACTCAACTTCAATAACTTATCCACTATAGTTTACATAATTTAATTTCTAAAAGAAAAGACTGTTATTAGTTCTTGCAAGAAAACTATGATTCTGTCATGCTCTTTACTTGAAGATGAAGCTAAAAAGATTATTTTTTTTCTATGAAGACTCTTTGGTCATTTTCACACATTTAGTGAGACATAGAAAGTATTCTTGTAAAGCCACTTTCAAGCTTCAGGAAAGAAACATGCCTTTCCTGTTTTAGCTACCTGCCCAAAAATGTGACATAGCATGTGCTGGTTTTTCACTTTGTACTCATTATCTTGGTAAACTAAAACTCATATTATAGGAGTTACAACTTGTGATCTTATTTTTATGATTACAAGAATATATCATTAAATTAAAATAAGAAATAAAATAAATCTATTAATCAAGTCGAAGGAAGACAGTGTAACGTAAAAGATTTGCAAACTTGATTAAAATAGACTAAAAATATTATGTTTCTTTTAATTTCTCATTCAATATTCGATATTTATATTTGGGACATGATTGATTCGTTTGTGTCGTGTAAAATTCATTAAAATAAAAATAGATGAGAGGGAATAAACAAGACTAGAAGTAAATCAGAATTTTTGCTAAAGAGTGTTCAAGAAACCAAACCATCTTTGATGAGTACTGACACAAAGCTCATATAGACAAAGTGGGGACCAGCTAAGAATTTCCTCTCCGGTCATTTTGGTCTCTAATACATGTCTCTCTCTGATCAAATTTTCCATGCCAACAGTCTACAGACAAGAAATGATATAAGAATTTTATTATGATATTGACATGTTAGAGTAAGCATGCTATTTCTTTAACCCCCC